CCTTTCCCAATGCTTTCTCTCAATAGGGTTATTTTTGTGTTTAAAAAGGCCTGTTAAACTATTTACTGCACATTTTTATTAAGTTTTCACACTAATCAGGAGCCTTTCAGATACTTTGAATATATACAATTGCTAGGATACTTAAAATATATATTCTACATATTTAGGGACACTAGATTGGAAAAGGCTGATATGGGGTATAACGGTTAATATAAAGACTCCCTTGTCAAATTAGCCATTTGGTGGCCAAGCAAGGATCACTGATATGAAAAACAACTCATATTATTAGGGAAGAGATCACATTATTGTATGCACACAAAAGTAGAATTTAAATTTTTATCTCTCTATCTTGTTTATTGAATTTGGTATTGTGGGATGCAATGTAAAATGCCATTTCAAATTCCAATAGTAGAACAGTTTATTATTATTATTATTTGATTGGGATTTCCTTACTGCTGAAAAGAAAGAATCTCCATTCCATAAAGTTTAAAGTTACAGTAAATATATGAGGTTAATTTAGTCAGCCCCCACTTGTCCCATAACATAATGAACACGTCTTTCCTATTTGCTATTGAATCATAACCAACTAAGCCTCCCCCCCTTCTTTCCCATCCCAAAAATCACATTTCCCATGGCTGATGCATGAAATGTCAGACAGGACCTTAGCAGCAGACACATGCATTTCAAATAACACCAGATGGATTTTTATATTAGCTACTATTTCATGTTCAAGGCACAGCAACCGTTCTGCATTTTTTTTAAAGAAAAGAAAAGAAAAAGCAAGCCTCGGCGCCTGTGCCACACTTGCTTCGGCAAGATTAATTTTGCAAAATTAATTGGGACAAGATTGAGAAGGAAATTAAAATGCAGCAGAGTGAACTGGCATTTCAAACACCCTTTTCTCTTCTTCTCCCAACCCACTTGCTTGCCACCCTTAGCAACCCTGCCAAGCTTTATTTTACCTTTGCTTCTTCAATAATCATAGGTGAGCATTATTGCCTCACAAAATTATTTTTGAAAGGAAAGCACTCAGGAGCACTTGGTTATTCCCAAGGAAGAAGTGATAGAGCTCCATTCAAAGAAATGAAAACAAGGCCATGCTCTTGGGTGCTAAGAGAGAAAGGCAGGAAGGTAGCATTTACTAGTCTATGATATTACATGAAAACCTGCAGTGTCTACTTGTCAACTTTGGCAAGTTTAAAATGAGTGAACTTCAACCCCCATAATTTCTCAGTCAGTGGGTCAAAGTCCACCATCTTAAGGTTACCAAAATTGAAAAACATTGATCTACATGATAAAAATGTCTTCCTCAGAGCATTAAATTTAATAGACAAGTTGAAGGGTTTAAGAATGCATTTTGTGATGGCATATTCTTAAAAGTACATTTTGAATACAAGATGATCCTGGATTATTAAAAAGCCATCATTTCATTATTTGAAGTTTCATCCCCTGGAATTGTAAGAACTGGAAAATTGTTAAAATATTTCCAATAAGTAGTTGCATGGAATAAGAAGCATTCATATTGATATTAATGAATTTAAGATGTCCTTGTTCCTCACAAAAGATTAGAGAGAAAGAATTCTGTCCTCTGTTACAAGATTTTCAATAAAACTTAAATGATCCTCCTATTTTAAAATTAAGTTACTTTGATTAAAAAAATGTGTTTCCAAAATATATGTTTTTACTGCACTAAAAAAAAAAAAAGATTAAAAAAAGACCAATTGTGGCTTCTGGATGAAATTCCAATTGCATGGGAGCAACTTCCTGTAGAGATTTTGGTTTCTGTGATATATTGATTTTTGGGGGGGAGGTGGTATCTGCTGTAAAATTTCATTGAAGTATAATGCATTAATGTCTCCTGGAAACCTAGCTACAATGTAAGGGAAAGCATGTAAAGAACAAAGTACAACAATACTCTTGCATTTTTAACTTTTGATGCCACTGTGTTAGCACTCAAAATAGTGGGTAGCTTCATGCACTGTAACTCAGTTATTGGTCTGTCACTTTGCTGTTATGGATTGTGTAGATTAAAGTAAAATTGTATTATGGAATGTTTATATTTTTTGCTATTTTATGCAACATTACTTCAAGGATTCCTCCAGGATTGAGAAAGTCTATAGAGAAATGTCCTATGACCAAAATTTTGCAGCTACATGGGACAAAAAGCAAATCTCATTTTTTTATTTCTTTATTTTTACTTCATAACTAAATGTTATGAAATACACTTCATAAACTACATAGTACAAAGAAGGGAACGTAGAATAGGCTTTTGAGTGATTATGAAAGTTGGGCCACTCCATTATTTAGCCTATCACTTTGTTCTTCCCCATTCTCAGCAAAATACAAAGTCAACATATTATACAATAAAAATCCCAGGAACCATAAGAATAAGAAAAAATAGGCATATATTAAGTTTTCATTTCAATTCTAGCATAGGAAATGTATAATCCAATTGCCTTGATAGTGCTGTGTAACTACATGGCTGAGCTGAAATTTGTTTCAGATAATTGTTCTTATAAATGCGACATCTTTAAGGTGCTGGCAAGTACTGGTCTATATTACAATGTTAAAAAGGGCTTGAGGAAGACAACTTAGATTGTGGTAGCAGCATGTTTGTATCTTCATGAACTAACTTTCAAGACCAATCTTAAATCATTAGGACCCCAAAAGACTTAAGTCTGGAGCTTACTCCTCCTCAGTACAGAAGTAGGTCTTTCTTGTGTAGATTCAACTCTGAAGTTCCTACTTCTTTTCTTTGATTGCTCTGATATGAGTAATTACATAGGAAGTCAGGTTTTTGTCATCTGATATCCAGCTTCTGGGAGCTAGATCTTTACTTAAGACACATTCTTCATTTGCATATCTGTGGTAAAGAAAGTACTTCATATTCCCAACCAATTCTTCATCCTCCATTTCTGTAGTTTCTAGCTCCTATCTCACATCTGACCAAGCAGCTCAATTAACTATGTGATTCTTGAGAGATTAAACACATGCTCACATGCTCATGGAGATAAACTATTACTATACATATTTACATGACAGGAAATAAGAATTTCCAGGAGCAATTTTCTGGACTAGAGAGGGAGAACAGAAAGATACAGGTGTTTTTATTACATAGAACTGTAGTTTTCAAGGTATTCCAGTTTCAGAAATTTTCCATAATAATTATTGAGCGCCATAACAGGACTCGTGTATATTGCAGATATTACTCATTTTTACATATTTTACAGCACCCTCATGGGAAAAAATTACTAGCTGCAGTCAAATAAGAAGATTGCATCATAGAACATAGTTTTCCTTTTTGACATCCTTCTTACATTGGCCAACCTAGCCATTGATGAATATATTCCTCCACAAACTACATGTATTCTCTTTCATACCTCCCTTTTCTCAACATCCTAAATGCACTAATGTTTATTTAAAGATTTTAAAACAAGGCAATAGTAAAACCAATTAATTCTTTCTTTCCTGCCATTCTAAACTCTGTCATTTTGTAACTGCACACCTTCCCCTCCACTGGAATCCACATCTGTTTAGAGTTTAAAATGGTAACTGCACAGTATTGTTTATGCAGCAAGTTTATTAGCAAAGATTAGAAGAATGTCATGGGCAGTTGATGCAATATTTATGCCATCCAAAAATTATTGGAATTATCTCAGGAACTTTAGAATTAAAATTGCAACACAGTTTGACTGCCTGAAATCACAACCTGCTGTCATACAGTTTGAATATGCCCTTTGTTTATCGTTTCTTTTTGGTCCTGGGGGTTTTGGCACAAAGATATATGGAAAAACTGCTGCAGGTCCTTGGAGATTCCAACCTCCATGCCCTGGGGGAGGGTCCTGGTGACCCAAATATTTGACACGTAGTAATATAGGACTTCAAAGAAGTTGAAACGTGACTGAAAGATTGAGCTTTTGCAAGTTCTATTGTGGAGTTCTCCAGAGTTTGATACTCTCTCCTGTTTTTAATCATGCACCACTGGAAGAAATTATTTGCTGATTCAGGGTGAAAGATCATTAGTATGCTGATAATGCCCAATTATATATTGCTAGACTGAGGTAGAGATGCTGTGGAAGTCATGCATTGGTAACTGGAGGTTAGGATATTACTGGGACAAAACAAGACAACTAAAACTAAACTAAAAGTACACTACTTGCTGCTAATAAACATTAAAGCATTTCTTCCCAATAATTACTTTTTACATGGTAGTGTTCCCAGCTAAGGAGTTGGTATATGATCTGGGAGTCCTTCAACTGAATTAGCAGGTGGAAATTGTGGTGGTGGGGAGAGGGGGTTTGCTCAGCTCTAGCTACTGCATGATTAACACCCCTACTTTAATCAAGATGACTCATGCCCTGATTATCACAGCCAGACATTATAATGCATTCTATATGGGACTATATTTAGAGATGGTTCCAAATGCGGTGGCAAGACTCCTGAAGGGACAAATCAATTAACGTAGAATTAAATGTATTCACTGTATTTAATGTATTCACTGAAATGGCTCCTGATTGGCTTTCAGGCTTAATTCAAAGCACTTATCATCTTTTTTAGTATCTTCATAGTACTGCTTTATATTATATCATTCAACATCTTGCTAAGGTAGAATCTACCTGATCGGTATGAACACTTAGAGAATCTGGTGACAGCCTCTCACTCTTTGAAGGCTGAGAGAGATGGGTCTCATCAAAGGCCTCCTCAATGGTGGCTCTAACTTTTTGGATCTGGAAGTGAGAATGGACCCATCTCTGCTAGTATTTAGAAAAGCAATTAAAACCAGGTATTCTAGCAGGTATTCAGTTCCTAGTTTGTCCTAATGTATTTCTTTTAGTTATTTGTTTGGACATTATATTATGATTTTAACTAGGTGTAGTAATTGTGTTATTTGCTTCCTAGCTGATATTAGACTCCTAGCTGAGTTCAATAATTATTTGCCTCCTAGCTGATTTCAACAACTTATAAATAAGACATATAAATACATATTTAATAACACTTACCTTACTAATAATGTATATCAAATCACCCCTTTGAAAGGAAAGTTCATCTGGGTGGCCCCCTGTGCAGTTCCACAGACTTTGATAATAATTTGCATAACGTCTTATGAATCCTAAGAGAGAAATTTCATTGCAAAGTTCTTAGTCTCTAAATTCCATTCAAGGAATTGACAGAAATACTGCAGTATAGTTTAAGGCATTTGTTTAAAATGCATACGCACACGCACACATTGTAGTCCTCGGCTACACAACTGAGCCCCAAATTTCCATTGTTAAGCAAGATAGTTATGTGACTCATTTTATGATCTTTCTTGCCACAGTTGTTAAAAGAATCACTGTTAAGTTAGTAACATAGTTATTAAATGAATCTGGTTTCCCTATTGACTTTGCTTGTCAGAAGATGGCAAAAGACCATCAGATGAACCCAGGACACTGCAAACAATCATAAATACATTCCAGTTGAAACTATTTTAAAAACTTAAACAATTCTCAGAATAATGAATTGCCCTTATTAAATATGAAATATATGCTATCATGAATTGACAGTTTTCAGGATCATTTTATTTGGCATGCTAGTAATAGTTATATGATTATCTATCTATGCAAGACTCCATCTAAATTTCCTTCTGCTCAAAATTTAGGGCTTAGATACAACAGATAAAAGTTCATGAACCCTTTTGAATTTCAATATTCCTGTAAAAAGATAATTCATAACATGATTGCTTTTAATAACAGTTGATCAGTCCTGCACTTTCACTCAGAGGAATGTTGGCCTATTACTCTGTTCAGAAAAGCTCCTGGTGGGCTTCCTCGTACGAACTGCCTCCTTTAGCCTTTCACAGCATTTCTATAGGATCAAGGTCAGGACTTTGACTTGGCCATTCCAAAAATTAATTTTCTTCTGCTTTACCCATTCTTTGGTTGTATGATCTGTGTGATTTGGCTCATTGTCTTGCTGCATGATCCATTTTCTCCTGAGCTTCATCTCCAGGACAAATATTTTCTTGACATTTTCCTGTAGAATTTGCTGGCACAATTCAAAATCCATAACTTCAAAATCCATAATGTTGGCAAACTGTCCTGGTCCAGAAGCAGTAAAGCAGTACAAACAGGAGTGGGATTCTACCAGTTCTCACCTATTTGCTAGAACCGGTTGTTAACATTCTAAGCAGTTTGGAGAACCGGTTGTTAGAAGAAATTTCTGGCCTTATCCTGTAAGGAAGGAAACATTCTGGTGTTGCTTACAGAAACTGCCTCTCCGTTAACCCTTATTACATTCTTGGCACGACCAGACTTCCTGTCTCAGGAACTTCTCTGGAGTTTTTTTTCCCCTCCTTTGCTGGTACTTTGCTTGTGTGGAGTGAGCATTCAAAGTTAAAATGGCACTGAAAAAAGTGACTTATCACCATTTTTCACACTTATGACTGTTGCAGCATCCCACAGTCATGAGAGGCTAGGCGAGGATGTGTGCCTCGATGTGAGTGATATTGAGTTGGCCACGCCCAGCCAATAACATGACCACCAAGCCATGTCCACCCAGTCACATGACCACCAAGCCATGCCCACCACCTAAGCCATGCCCACAGAACCGGTTGTTAAAATTTTTGAATCCCACCCCTGAGTACAAGCCATGATACTGCCACCACCATGTATCACAGACAGGAGAAGGTTCCTATGCTGAAATGCAAGATTTGCCTTTTGCCATACAATGTTTATCATTCAAGTGAAAAAGTTCTATTTTGGTCTTATATATCCACAGGATATTCTTCCAACAGCCTTCTGGCTCTTTTGCAAACTGTAAATGGGCAGTAATATTCTTTTTTTTTTTTTTTGGAGAGTTATGGCTTTTTCTTTGCATCTGTGCCACACAAATCATTGTAATTCAGGATTCTTTTGATGGTAGAGTCATGAACACTGAGATTCACCAATGCAAGGGAGGCCTTAGTTTCTCAAACATTACCCTGGGATTCTTTGAAACCTTCCAAGTATTACATGGCTTGCTCTTAGTGTGTTTTTAGTTGATCAACCATTTCTGGGGAAGGTGAAAATGGTGTTGAACATACTCCATTTATATACAGATCTGCCTGACAGTGAATTAGTAGAGTCCAAATACTTTGGAAAGAGTCATATGACTATAAGTAACTGGGGCTTTTTTTTGTCCTCAGAAATTTATTTAGTTTGAGTCACTTCTACATGTTTATGTTGTGAAGATCAGACCTGATAGTGCATCCAAAATTGTTCTTTAAATAAGACAGGAGCTCCCTTGATTGAAACATTTAAGTTTAATTTCTCTTCAAATGAACTGATGACCCTAGAGCAGGGGTGGGCAAACTACGGCCCGCGGGCCACATCCGGCCCGTTGGTCTGTCCAATGCGGCCCGCCCCTGAAAAAAAATCGCTGCCATTGGTCTGTCCAATCCGGCCCGCCCCTGAAAAAAAATAGCTGGTCGTGGCGTAATTGCCCTGTGCCGCGTGGCCCCCAAAGCTGCAAAACAGTGCGGAGCGATCTAGGGGTAGGAAAGAAAAGAAATTTGCAAAGGCCTCGGCTGGGAGTTCGAAATCACCTTCGAGTGCGACCTCTCTGAAGGTGAGTCCCCGCCGATCCCCCGTTTTTTTCCAGGGCTTCCAGGCTTAAACTTTGCAAAGGCAAAGCTTGCAGGCTGGAGCGTCTTCCCGCCGAGGAGCGGGAAGGGTTCCACCCGGCGGGCGGGGCGGGCTGCTTGGAGCCAGCTAAAGCTAGGCCGCTGCTGGTGGAGCTTTGCCCTGCCTTGGTGCCCCGTTTCCCGGCTCGGCGGTCCTGCTCGGGCGGCACTTTAAAAGCCTGCTCCCAGCACCCGAGCAACTTCCCAGCAA